TACTATCATTTCTTAGCAAACATGAAGAGTACAATTTTATTTTTAGTAACGCCTCCTCTGCTCGGTAATATCTACACCACCTTCCAAAGGTAATTCAGAGAAGACTATACGGAGAGATTAGGTCTGAACTATTAGAAGCCACTTCTTCTCCAACTAATTGGATAGTGTGCAGAATCTTAAGGCATAGTACTTGGCTGGACGAATGAACAGTAATGAAACTGGATGGATCCTCAAGCAGCTGTCATGATTTTTGCATTTCATCTTTAGGCTAATACGTCTCAAGAAGGAAGTCGCTACCATTAGAATATCGGCCAGTTGAACTCCGCTTCCCAGCTACGTGCTTAAATTGAGAGGAACGGGAATAAATTTAGACTTAAATGACAAGGCGATTTGTGCTTTAACATTCCATGTAGATAGGACGCCAATGTTTGGAATGCACTTGCGAATGACGTTAGTTAATGCGGCCAAATGCGATACCAACAAATTAGCAGTATGCTTAAATAACTGCCCAACATTATATCATGAAGTATAACAGAATAATGGAGAAGAGTTTCATCACAATCAATTTTGCCGTTAAGCGAGCACAAACATTAGAGACGTCTGTCATAGAAGCGTCAAAAATGTGCTTAAAAGTGATCCTGTCGTGATAAAAGTGGGTTGTAACGAAGCCTCTTTTAATACATTCGAATACCGTTAAGATGAGCGAGACAGAAGGGCAACTGGGACGAACTTGCACAGAAAGCAACAACCGTCATTATCTTCACTACTCCATCACTTCTTCCATAGACTAACGGTCTACCTACTATTAACATTCGTATTCATAAAAAGGGAAGTGTTAACGTTTCGATAGTCATGGATGAAATGAATGACAATACCAACCTTTAAAAAGATGGCTTCGCCCGATTTCAGCCTGACATAGTTGAGGAAGAAAACACTAAGGCAGCCAACATCACCAGGAAACGCCTGTGTCAGACGGAGGAAGAGGTCAACCAGAGATTGGGCATCTTCCTCCTGGGGATCCACACCTGGGATACTGAGAGGTGGATCGCAGACCGATTTTAAACCAGTTGTAAAACGATTCACAAGGGATTTAATAGTCGATTCAACCTTTTCAGGAGAAGATCTCATCAGATTTGAGTAAAGTTGTTTAATTGAAAGAGGTTGCCCCTCCTTCTTTTCATCTGTGGTGGATGGTGACTTCAAGGTGGTAAG